GTTGCAAGTAGATAAAAGCTAAATATACCAAACTTGGTTAGTACATTGCAACTCTTTGCATAAAAAGTTTTAGAACATTTGTCCCAACTTGGGAGTAAGGATTTGGGAGTCCTCCTAGTGCTCTGGCTGTACATATATTTACATTAGTTGGTTTGCGATTCTTCTCTATAAATTTATAAAACCTAATTAAATGCAACATAAGAATGTGTTGAGTGCAAACTATTTCTGCAAACCAAGAGCTTTCAGGTAATTTCATGAGCATGAAATTAATATCCAAGTAATTCATTAATAGTTTCACGTGGCAAACTACCTGGCTGTGGTAATTGCCTACAGGCCCCATGTAGATCGGAGTACCCCAAAGAAAACATTTTCTAAGAGCCACCACAGACAGCAAGCTCGGATTTTAGGGTCACCCTGCCAGCGCAGGCATTCCCTGGTGTGTGATGTGGCCATCCCCGGCTCCTGGCCTGTGGGCAGTGGCCGGCCCGCTGCCCCCAGGTGTTGTCCCAGGCCTTGCAGGCCCAAGCAGCAGGGTGGGGCCTGGCCCTGGGGCTGCCCGGCAGGCCCTGTGACTCCCATAACCCTGGAGGGGCGCAGAGCCACGGGCTGCTTTGGCAGCGCCTGCTTGGGCCCGACAGAGCCCTCCCCGACAGGGAGAACCTCTCAGCCGGCAACAGTGCTCTGAACATGGGCGTCTGCCAATCTGGCAGTGAGCATCCCCCGGCCCTGTGGCCCCGCCGGTGAGCCCGGGCCTATCAGTCACTGGCAGGAGGCCCCATCTCTTCTGACAGACTCCCTAGCTAGAGCGCTTTCAAAGCCAAGGCGCAGTCGAACCACTTTGATTAACCATATTAAATCATTAAATTAACTTTTCCTGAGATATTCATCTGCCGAGCATAAAAGACTAGAAGGTGAAAAGTAATTATAAACACGTGTCAAGGGAAGGAGGGAATGGTGACTGTGGGCGTTCAGAGGGGAAGCTATCAACAACAATTTTCTTGTTATCACGTGTGCAGCCACAACTTCAGCACTTGGCTATCGCAACAATAACACAGGCAGGATAAACTGCAAAAACCACACAAAATTGAAAGGGAAATCTGAAAAAGAAATCCCAAATGTTTGATAATTCTGTTGCAAAATATTTTATTCAAGTATTATCTGCAGGTTTCACTAGTGTTCTTCACTGCCCATAATAGGGGGCTGGTAAAATTTAGAGGCTTTTCGATCTCATGTATTCTACAATGAGAGTAATCTGAATTATAAAATATTTTTCTTGCATGTGCTTGAGAAGAGAAGCATCAGAGGATTGTGATCAGTGGCACAAAATCCAGTTAGAGGCAAGACAGGTGTGGGTCCCCCTGGTACGAGGGCCAATACTGTTCAACATCTTCATTAATGACCTTGATGATGAGGGAAGTGTGCACCCTCAGCAAGTCTGTGGATGACACAAAAGGACCACTAAGATCATAAAGGGGCTGGAGCATGTCTCTTATGAGGAGAGTTTGAGAGATCTGGGACTGATCAGCTCAGAAAAGAGAAGGCTCAGGATGATCTATCAATGTGTATAAATATCTGATGGGAGAGAACAAAGAAACAGCAGCCAGAGGCTTCTCAGTAGAGCCCAGTGATAGGACAAGAGTCAGTGGGCCCAAATTGAGATACATAAAATTCCACCTGAACATAAGAAACTACCTTTTTTACAGTGAGGGTGGTCCAACACTGGAACAGGCATCCCACAGAGGAATATTGCTATCTGTGGAGATATTCAAAACTCGACTGGACATGGTCCTGGGAAATCTGCTCCAGCTGACCTTGCTTGAGCTGGGGGAATAGACTAGATGATCTCAAGAAGTTCCTTCCAACCCTGACAGTCCCATGATTCTATGATATTCTGGATTCCAAAGGAAAGTAGAAGTAAAGCTGCTCACAAATCACACTGAAGCAGCGTTCTAAAGCTTCTGTCATTTGTTTAAATACTGATTCTAATCTATATTCCAAATTTTGATGCCAGCATGTGGAATGCACTGGAATGCAGAGTAAAGCAACCCAGACTTTAGGAAAAAAAAAATATTCAGTGTGATGACTCTGTACTGCCTTTATTACTCTACTGAGTGTGACTGGCTGTATCCAAAGTGTATCAATGTTATTACGTCTTCTCTGAAGGAAAGATGGGCTAGCACAGTATGCCTTGAACCCACAAAATTTACACTTTAGCTTTATACTCTCATCCTAGGAAACAGACCCCAAAAATCATGTTGAAATATGCTACCTTATCCAATAATAAACTGGTTCAACAGAAACTCATTTTAAGAATTTAAATCTGCTAAATACTCCTTTCTTGGATGAAAGTGAAAAAACAGTTTGACATTTTGAAGATTACAAGGGTCAGAGTTTGAAAGATTTTGGTTTCTGAGGAGTCAGAAATAGGCATTTCAGACTGTGGGATTACGCTCATTTAAAGACCTACTTTACCTTTAATATTTAGCTCAGCCCTTCTTATTCTTGACAGGTTCTTCTGAATTTGACAGACACAGGACAGCCTTCTGGGAAATGGGTAATGCTATTAATAATTTTTTGTTACTGTGCTCCAGTTATGACTCAGGACCCTCCTGCACATCATGGTAATTGTTCACAAGAATTTAGTCTAAGTATAAAATAAAACACAACAGATGGGTATAAAAAGGTGAAAGGAAAAAAATAAGAGAAAGGGGTTGCCAGTGCTCTCAGATACATTTGCAAGCAGCAGATTAAGTGGTACCTTAACAGTGAATGAAAATTTGAAGGAGGGAGTGGAAAAATACCAGAGTTGCTTCATCAGCAATCCCACTGAGAGCTGTGGTGCTTTCCTCTCTTCTGTTGCATCAGCAAGTCTAGCTGTTGGACTTACTGTAGCATCTTCTCATGGAATTCAGCAAAATAATTTCTAAAGAAATTTCATTGAAATTAGGGAGCAAATAAGCACAATTTCCCTTCTCAGCAAACTCAAAGGAAAAGTGAACAAAACCAGCATCTTCTGGTGGGGTTCTGTGTTTACGTTAACTTTTGATTAATGAGGAAAGATAATTCAGCAAGGAAAGACACACTTTTTCTTGGGAGTCTCACAGTTGTGGGTAACCATTTCTCAATATCCACAGACTAGCCCATCTGTGTAGGCTTTGTTGAAATCAACAGGCTGAAAGTAAAATAATTGCAAGATCAGTGATAGAATTTTTCACTTGCTCAGCTCTGACCTTACCATGAGGACATGAATGACATATTTCATACAATGCCAAAACTAAAAAATACATAACTAAACTATTGGGCAGCAGTTATAAATAACAAAAGAAAGCACTCCTTCCACACACAAAACTGAATTGAAAAACTTACTGCCATAGCAAGTTACAGAAACAGAAAGCATAAATGTATTAAAAAAAGAAAGACAGTTCTACCACACATCATTAAGCAAGATGGGCCAGATGCAACTTTCAGCTCAGGAATTCTACAAACTACCAGTTGAATTCATATTAACAGGAAGCCTCACTCTGTGCTTAGCACATTTCTTACATTTTCTTCCTAAGCATCTAGAATCTGATGTTGTCAGAGAGGTCAGTGATTCAATACAGCAATTCTTAAGTTCTTAGGGGCATTTTATTTTGCAGTATGCAACAGCTATCTGCTATAATAGACTAAAGAACCAGGATCCATTTACTATCTCTATTTAATATAAAGGAATGTCATCTTCTTCTGCCTTGAAAGCTGCATGCAGATAACCTTTTACTTTCTCATACCCCTGACACAGAATCATGCCACAATGCCAACAAATTTAAACAAAACTTTGCTTCTGACAAATCAACTGTGAATAAACTATCTAATCCACATGCTTCTACTATGGCTTTTAATTCCTACTAATATAATTTGTATTGCTTTACAGCATAAAGAGTGTCAAATCACCAAGTTCATCAAAGAAATCACAGTAAGAATAGAAAGCCCATGCAGTTTTCATATTGTAAACATAAAGCATATTGCTCAGAAATAGTAAAAAGATTTCAAACTGAAATTTGAAAGCACCAGCTTTGAGCATGATGTCATCAGCATTTTTTATATTGTTATATAATTAAGCTTAGAGTGTGTATAAACAAATCTCTTGGTTACGGTTTGTAACAATGAAAGTAAGATTTTGTACTATTGCATCATTTAGTCATCATATATCGTAATCCAGATTATGTGCTCCTTCCCAGGCAACTTTGTAGCAGTCAGCAGACAGACTGTTAGAGAAGTTAAAGTCAGCTTCAAACTATCCTGACAAGAAGGGAGGTCCCAAAATGTTCTCCGTGTAGTAGAGAATCCCGTGTTTCTTCCTAGAACTGCCTCCTATGGGTAAAAAGACCTAGATTCCAGGAAACATCTCATGTGCAAGGGTTCCGATAGCTCCTGTCCATGATCCACAGCTCAACAGTGACAAACCACATAAACCCAAGGCCCCAGATTCCTTCATTCTGTAATAACCCACCTCCATAACCCACTGGTATCAACTAAAGCATCTGATTAACATAAATGCATCCTAGTTCCCACTGAAATCAGTTAGGTTTATATGATCAAAACTAGGCAAGTATATCAAGTGCTTTCACACCTCAGGTCAAATAGTATCTTATGGGACCCATATTTAGAGTTAATTTAGGTGAACTAGATGTAACAGGGAAGGAAAAAAAAAAATCACATATACCAGGCAAAACCAAACAAACAAGAAAAGCATTTCCCCCATAATCATCAGTAGGATGGGAAGGCATATCTTAAATAAAATTGCTTTTTAGTATTTGTGTTGTATCTTAATTTCTATTGTTCTCTTAAGTCCGCACATTGCTATGTATGTGGATACAGACACAAATACCACCCTTCCAAACTTTATCTGTGCTATGTATACACAAAAATAGGTAAGCAACACTTTATAGCTCAACAAAAGGCAGTATAAGCATCGCATATTAGTAGATGTGCCTCAAAAAATGGTACTTAACAACATTTACCTGTGAGCATACTAGTGTCAGCAAGCTCAGCACTAGCGATGGGTACACTGGGACCATCCTCTTCATATGCTTTCAAAATGTACTTCTCAATTACACCTATGACCCCAGCAGGTTTGTCCCAGGTGACCTCAATGCTGTAACCATTTATACTGTGAACTCTTGAGGGAGTTGGCACATTTTGTGGAACTGTAGAAGGATAAAATAGAAAATAGAGAAAATGGCAGTTCTAAGGAGACTATTGCCCCTATTCTTCACTTTTAATGGCTGCAGTAAATCAGACTCAACCATTAGCATAAATACAATTTATTAGAGTTGTAACTTTTCAGCATTGATTTAATATGACTGCACATCTTGAGCTATTCAGTTTAAGCTATATTTCAGAACCATCAAAACCCCATCTACATAACATTCCTTCTTGTCTTGTTGTGATTTTCCAAAAACATTTAACGTATCAAACATATTTAAGCATCGCTCACAAAGAGAGGAGGTGGATTGTATGTAGCTAACAAGTTCAGGCATTATAATCATACAACTGAATGAATCAAGACACTATTGCAAGAGAAGAGATTGATTATTTATCTGTTGGATATCTAAGCCACAGAATGCCATAACTATGAAACATTTGTAAATGAGAATGCACATTTTCAGGAAAGTACTTCAAAAGTATTTAAGCTTTTCCATTTATTTTCATATTTCCACAATGCCATACCACTGTCTCAGGGCAAAGCAGAGATTTGTAAGGTCTTTATGAAAAATCCTTTGCTTCTGATCATTCCACATTATGAAAAAGAAAAAAAAAAATTTAAAAGAGTTAAATGAAGATGTTCAAAAGAACTGTAAAGCCAAACTCATATATGCATACAGTTGCTAATAATAAAAAAAAATAATCATCCCATTTCCCATAACCTTTAGCTATTTATTAGATATTACTATACCAAGTAAAGGTCTGGCCAGTAACAACTTCATCACAGATGACTGCACAAGGGATGCAGAGGAAAGGCCCAAGGAACACTATGGCAGGATGATGGATGATGAGTTTGCTGTAAATGCATGTGGACTCCCTAGCCCTACTGATGATCATTTGCTTTTCTTACCATCAAATAACCTTTTTTTTTTTTTTTTTGTAATTTTATTTTTTAGTTTCATTAAATATGAATGAAGTGTTGTTTTTTATAAGGGTAGCGAATGGAAAGTGTAAAAACACCTGGAAGTTGTGATTCTTATGTAAAGTAAGAATGTGATACTTTAGGAAAGCCTCAGTTACTACAGTAATATATTGATTTTATTAGTTCTGAAGTGTATCACAGGGCAAGGTAAGGTACTGCATAGCAGATGGTCTTCTCATAAGGGACATAACAAAACCAACTCAAAAATAATTAAATAGCGCAATTATTCTCCAACCCTGGGGAACATGGACTTCTCAATGCTGTGGTCAGCTTGAAAATATAAATTTGTGGTAAACCTTACAGTTGCCAGACAGCTGATGTGAAAATATCCATGTATTTTCTCTCTTCTGGGTGGTACACAAAATAATGACAGTAAGTTGTATAAGAATGCATTTGCAAGTCCAATATTTACACAGGTATGGTAACATTTTTTAAGATCATACATTAAATAACTTGCATCAGAGAATTTTCTACATTGATAGAATGCAATTAGGCTTCAATTTACAGAAGAAGAAAAGTTGATTAAATAAAATATGCAAAACTGTAATTCTTAAAAAATCTTGCTGGCTCAATAAAGTGTGCAAAAACACTGACCAGAAAAGAAAAGGTCCTTTACACCTTCTTCATAAAATACAGGGAAAATTTTATCTTTAGGCCTCAGCAAGTACAGTGTTCCTACTTTGAAACCTTCTCCACAAGACACACACTGTTTTTCTAGTAAATATTGCCACATTTTCAGACACAACTTGTTAAAAGTTACTTGTTAAAAGTATCCCCATTCAACAGCACTGAGCAATATACCCTTGTGCAGGTAAGAAAGAAAACCCTTTTCTCCCTAGCAACTACATGGCCTCTTATCTTCCACAGCTTGTGCCTGCTATTGCAGTATCTCCTTTTGCTACACTTGATTTTGTATCATGAAGTTATACATAGGAAAATATAGATTTACTTACTCCAGCAGACTCGTATACCATGAAGTTTGATGTGCACGTGTGAACACACCTAGACGCACGGCTGCTCTTACTCAGTTAATGCAGTTCAATCCTTTCATATTCTTTGCTCTCACATAATTACATACTCCAATATATATTTGGAAAAGACCTTGAATTATGCGTGGAAAATACCTGCCTGAATGCTTTATAACAGAAGATAGTAATCGGGTACTTCATCAAAGCATTAAGCATTTTTAACACTATGCAACTTACAGTACTCAAAATTGTTGTGATGGGATACATTCTATAGCTGATGAAAAAATAGGAATAAGTAAGCCTTAAAATTATATTTACCTGATTCTCTTGTACGAACATGGGTCCATACACTAGATACTGATCCTCCTTCATTTGAGGCAACCACTCTATAAAGGTATTCTTCAAAGAACACAAAGCATAGAGGAGAAAAAACAAAACAAAACAAAAAAACACTGAACACAGTAATACATTAATACAGAACAAAATAAAAATGATGTATTTCATTTAAGGAACTAACGTGTTACCTGTAAATGGTTGTAGACCGCTCTCATAAACACTCTGCTCTTTTCCTCGGTATACAAGGATGGAGTCATTTCCCCTGCAGTTAACAGCACTGTCAGTTGATAGGCATCCATCCAGATTGACTCTGACAGCACTGCTGGACACAGATGCCAAGTTAACGACAGCACCTCGTGTAAATTTAACATCCTTCAAGCAACCACCGAAACCTAGCAAACAATAAGGGATTAGTATCACGTAAAGAGCTTCAGTCATTAATTTAGATTCACTTTTGTTTGCTTCAATTCTGTATTTTCAGTATTAAAGACTGTAATGTGAGTATGTTGACTTCTAACATGATGTTCTGTTCCCTCTTTCAAGATACTAAGCTTGTAAAAATTCCTGGTATTCTAGTGTTGAGGTCCTGCCTTACTAAATTGTGCTTTCATTGTTATCAACTCCATCCCATGAGGAAATAGCTTTCTGTTTTCTCTTCTGTCACTTCTCTCTAAAATTACTACCATAAAAGTGATTCTGAATTTGAAAATCAGCTTTCTGCTGATTGTTAATATTTTGTTAATATATACACATAAAGCCAGATTAAAAATATAATTAACTTTGGGAGATCACAGAGGTATATCAGTTTATTCTAATGGGGATATAACTGGTATGATGTTTACAAACATACTCTAGAAACGTAACCCCAAACTGTTCATTTATAAGAAAGAAAGTAACTTCATTTTACACTGGTTCATATATATGCATATACAGAATTTCTCTGTCTGCGTGTTACATTCCTAACATTAATATATTAAATTAGTTACCTGCAGTAAAAATAGCACTACAAAATTCAGGATACAGTTGTTAAAATTCCTATATACTTCTATGATTTAATTTACAAATAAATTAATAAATTGATACAAAATAGTTCTCAAATCTGAGTAATGTACAGTGATTGGTGTTCAAGGCAAAATCAAAGTAAACCAAAGTAACCAAACCAAATATTTCAATTCATTGAAGAATTAACTTTATAAATTAAAAAACAGCCTCTCACAATTCAGTGCTCTTTTTTAGCTTTGTGAAAGTACCATATTTATACCTTATGTACTTTTATTATTGCAAAATAGCAGATCAGAGTAGTAATTGTACTTAGCCACCTGATGGGAGAATATAATATCCATACATAGTTCATGCAAAAAGAAAGGGATGCTGAAAGTAGACACCCATTTTGAATCATACTCTAAAACACTTTCTCTCTCCACAACACTAGGACTTTAGAAAAACTTCTCCTTAAAATAAATACAACCTAATTTAAACTCAACTCCTACTTCACAGCAATCAGCTCAGTTTCTTGGGCAGTTTGTGGTAGAGGAGAGAACTAGTCCCAGTCTGCACAGGCATCTTAATTATTAGACAAAATAAACAGTTGTTTGACTTGCATACTGCATAACCTATTTTAATACATTATTTTGAGTTTCGTTTTAGCTGCATTTATCACTATTTAAAGATTTCTGTCTGACGTCAGTCAAGTAATCTTATTTGCTGTCAGGTAGCTGCAGAGTAGGTAATGACTACAAATTCTCACAAACATTTCTGTCAACTCTCCTCCATCTTGACCCCTCAGGACAGCATGTGATGGTCATGCAAAGGCCCACAGACTCTAGCTGAAATTTCTTAAAATTTTAAGTGACATGGAGGTGGGGTGGGAGAAGAAGGATATTTATCGCTTATTTACTGTGAGCAAAACAATACTCCTTTATTCAAAATAACTACCAAGCAGCCATTAATTGAGAAAACCTTTTGTAAATATTTGTTTAACTGGGAAGGTATCCATATTCTATTATCATACCATTACATCATTATAGTCCTAAATAAAAGTATGTTTCAAAGCTGTAATACGTAACATTGCTCATCGAAGTCTACATTTAGGAACACACAAGAATGTTTTTATCTTCAGCCACTCTGAAGCACAGCCACCATCTTATTTTACAGCATTCTGAGGAGGCTTGGTAAAAAAAGTAATGTTTATTGATGTGCCTCAATATGCACTTCAGACATTCACTTCAGATGTTATTTTGCCCTAGATTCTTTGTTCACAGATCTTTTTGCTGCAGGAGTTGCAAATGCATCCCTCACAAGGCTATACCATCTGCTATGAGGCAACACTGACAGGGTATGACGGGCTAGCTCTTTTGGGCCATAAATATTATGCACACAGAACCTGGATGAAGATTATAATATATGTGATGCCTACAGCTGGAAGAGTACTTAAAACAATATTTTTGAGCTATCTGTGAATGCCATTGCATGGATTTGATTCAAACTCTTCTATAGCTGTGAAATCACACGGCTTCATAGGAGCTCTGCAGAGCTTACTAGATTCCCCCACTGATCACATACTGACTGCTACTTATTTGCCAACAGTGTCTGAAAAATACACCCTGACTGATGAATAGTTTCATAAGTAATGAAAAACCACGTCCAAACTGTAAACAGAGCTAGTTTAATAGACACTTTTTTTTTTACTACATTTCATGCAGCAGATCCTTTTGTGGATGCCATTAGCATCAGGCTGTAATTATTGTTTTCCCCTTTTCCCTAGAAGTTTGTCCTGTTCCACAGCAGAAGGGTCACAATGATGGCCCAGAACATGACTGTCCTCCCTGCTCCTGACGACATGGAAAATATCATGGTAATGCAGCCAAAATCCAAATTCAGGCTTTTATACTCAATTTTTTAGACCAGAATCAGTATCACCTAAGAAAGGACTAATAAACTCTCAACAATTCTTCCATGTGGCAGCATCCAGCCTCATTACAGTGATTTAAGCTATATTTACTCTCTTCCACTGGTTTTGTATTCCAGATCTGCAAGTGACACAACTTGACCAAGTGAAAAAATTATCTTAACTGGCTTTCTCTGATGAAGATTTGAGATCTGGTTAGGCATCTCAGATTACCATTTGCTACTGGCCAATTCCTCTCCTATGAGTTAGAATGCTTCAGATACCACTGGGTTGGAAGAATTTTTACAGCATTACAAATTGATCAGGATAAGTAAATCCAGACGGGTAGGGATAACTGGTAGTTAAAGCAACAATGGGTGGGAGGAAAAATGCATGTTACATATTTATGAATTTACACTACCAGCAGCAGAATGTTCACCTTGTATATGACGCCAGTTTTTGAAAACCATGTGTTCTTCTTGGTGTCATCTTACCTTGTTCTAATCCCAGTTCTTTAAAAAAATTCTGAATCTCAGGTGGAATTCCTCCTACGTAGACAGGTGAGTTTACTTTCAACTGCTGAACACGGGGTTCCAGCGTCTGCTCTCTCAGTTCATTCATACTTGCTGAAACTACGGAGCCCTCCTTGTTCACTGTGACTTTGTTCCACTTTCCATCACAATACGACAGTCCTAACCAGAGATCCACTTGTGTAAAGATAATGCCAGTTTTTAAAAAGATGTTTAATATTCCACTTTTCAGTTCAATCTATATATTTTAAAATGAAGAAAGATTTTGAAAGAGGTATTATATACACAGCAACAACAGACAGTTATTTTAAAAAAATAACCAAGACAGCCAATCAACAAGATCAATGAACAAAATCTCTTCAGGATAGCAGAAATTTCAAAAAAATTGTTTACACAAAACATGCTAAATACAGTGTATCACTTAATTCAGAATATAGGAAAATATATTCTGATTTTTTGACAACTGACTTTGGAATTAACATAACTTAGTAAAAAGAAAAGACAATGAACCAGGACTGTTTTGCTTTTTTTGAGAATGAGAAAACAGTATTTTATCTATCAATTCATTTTTTAGAAGAAAGTAAAAAGATAATAAGGAAATGAAATGTCAGACCTGATTAAGGTCTTTTTAATTGGCTGGTGAACTGAATTTCAAATTTTTCCAGCATACATTGATCCTGTATTTCATCCTATTCTTCTAAACCTTGTAAGAAAATAATTGGTTTTGTATGTGCTTTTTGAGATTAATATGCCAATTCTCTAATAGAAATACATTTTGCTTAAATTTTCAGAGCAGAAGTTTCCAGATGCTTTACTGCAAGACTCTTTGTCCTGGCTGAATGGAACATAAGTGGGCTGAGACTGTAAACTGGCAGGTATAAAGCACTAAACACTTAAGTGATGAACTGGTGGTTGAAAAATATGAATATGTTCACAAAAAAGCATTACTGTTTCCATGCCAAAATCTTATTAAGTGAAATAAAAACTACAGATTTAATACAAATATTTATCATCAGTATTGACAAGCCGACATATTTAGGTTGCTGATAATACTAATATTGAAGTATTTGTAATTAGATTATTTCCTTAACAGAGACCCCAACTGAAGAAAGAACTTAGCACTTGAGATATCATGGGCAATATAGGTCCTGTTGCAAAGTGCACACTGACTGCTTGATCATAAGACAGAGGAATTTTGTTTATTTGTTTCTTTGGGATCACAACTTTTCCTGTTTCCATAAGTTCAGAGCCCCTTGTAGCCAAGGACTCTACAATACTAGTGAAGGACAGATCATGACATCAATGCTGATAAGTATATCTTGAAAAAACAGTCTGTTGGACAAGTCACCATTTTTCTTCACTGATGAGAATTAATACGAAGCACACCATGCTGGTGTGAAGCAAGCACTTCAGCTGCCTGACTACAGTAGTATGCCAGCCAGTCTGCCAGACCTGGAAGCTAGAGAGAGGACATGGTGTTTGACATAGGGTCACTACTCAGTACATCCCTCTTCCAATTTACTCTTCTTGGCTTAGTCTTAAAGCAGGCAGAGAATGATGCTTGTGCTTTTTGTGATGACATGGACTGACATTTAGAATGCCCAAGTGCAGCTAAAGACAGAGGACCAGTGTTCACTTTGAACTGTTCTGCATGTTGAAGATAAAAAAAAGTGGAGTCCTGCATACATCTAGCATTCTCTCTGGTACTAAGCATAGGTTCAGAAAAACAACAGATTAAGTGTTTGCTTTGGATAAAATTCTGGGACCACTTTAAAAAAAATGCTTGATTGTTGATCTGTCCTTGGAAGACATATTATTACTTTCAACCAAAAATGTATGAAGATCATCTTATTCTGCTGCCAAACATCTTAGTTGTCATCTCTCAAAAAATCAAGAGCATTATATCACAGCTCCAAACCTAAACACATTCTCAGCTTAATGCTTAAAAGCATACTTGCTTTTCAGAATTTGGGGTACAAATATTAAGCACAACTACAACATTTTATTAATACTGTTCTCTATGCACACAATTCTTATGTTGATATATCTGAGCATGGAAGATTTGAATTAGGAAAGCCAAAGCTTAGCCTGAATCTGGAAGAGGACATGAGGGGCAAGAAAAACTTCTACAGGCCCACTGGCAAGTTGTGACATCTTTCTGAGATTGATACAGTGACTGATTCTGATTAATAATTTTATTAATGACCTGAACAATAGGATGCAGTGTACTCTCAGCAAGTTTGCAGTTGTTAGCAAAGGGGGCGGCCACTGGTGTTTGAGACATAGAAAGCAGCTTTGAAAAAAAGGACCAAGGGTCAAGATGAATTACAAATTGAGCACTGGTCAGCAATGTATCCCTGAAGTGATGAAGACCAAAATGGTCTGGCCTGTATTAGAAATAAGGTAGGCAGTGGGTCCAAGGAGATGATCCTTCCCCTCTATTCATCACACATAAGACTACATCTGAACTACAGTAATCCAGTTGTGGACACTCCAGTATATGTAAGATACTGGCACCCTGGAGTGAATTCATTGGAGAGGCACCAAGTTGGTCAGGGGTGGAATACCTGACGTATGAGTTGATTCTGAGAGAATGGGGTTTGTTCAGTCTTAGGAGCAAGCAGGAAGAGAACTTAACTGTTCAACTACCTTATGAGAGGTTATAGAGAAGACAGACTCAGACTCTTCTCAGAGGTTTACAGCAAAAGAATGAGAGGTAAAAATAGAAATTGTAACAAGAGAAATCACAGTTAGATATCAAGTTTGGGGTTTTTTTTCCATATTCAGGATGGTTAAAGATTGGAGCACGCTACAGAATTTGAGAAGCTGTGGACTGTCCATCTGTAGAGAAATGCAAAATACTCAAACATAAAATGTTTAGAGCAACCTTATCTAACTGAATTGGCCCTGTTTTTAGTGGAGATTTGGAATAAATTACTTCAAAAGGTCCCTTCAACCTGAATTATTTCATGCTTCTGTATTTTTTTCTCTGCAGGGACCAACCCTTACCTCACTCAATCTGCTTATAAACACCTGATTTTGAAGAAGAAAGGAATATCCAGCCATAGCTCTGAGAAACAAAACTCAGATAGGGTAGAGGCTGCATTGGAGGCTGAATGACACTTTGTTAAACCTGTCATCCAAAACGGTCTCAGCCAATGTTGAGCTACAGACTGATTATGCCTTCATCTCCTTTGAGCTGGGAAGTCATCCTGAGATTCAGAGGTATCAGAAGAGACAAGCAATAGACTTGAAAGAACTTGGCAATGACAATCAGTCTTTGAGCCCTTTGAAAGAAAAAGTACACAGTACTGAGGTTGATGTTGAACCAGTCTTTCCAGTTCAAAATCAACAAGGTTAAAGAGATGTCCTGTACTGGTACTAGCCCTGTTCAGACCTGCCAGTGAGAGAGCAGAGGCCCAAACACAGACCCCTCAACAGCCTTCTCAGAATCAGGCAGTCTTTAATGGAAAGGGAACCGGAATCTCTTCCTAACACCAGGCAGAGAGAAATCACTGGTGATCAATAGGAATATCACCTTCACAAGTCCCACATGAGCACCAGTCACTTCTTTGCTAATAAAAAGCTTTCCACTTTATGTTCTCAAAACGCTTATTTCACACCCTTTCTTAGTTCCATCACAGGTAACACTTTTTGTCTTGGACACTGGTTGTTTTACTTCATGCAGCTATTTAAAAGTACAATTCTTTCGAAAAAGTTCCTGCAGGACTTTTTTCCTACTAGTAGCTTTGCAGTAGCAAATCATCAGCTACAATGTCTTGGAAATTGGTGCCACTGTCGCACAGAAGATTGGCAGTGCTTAGGCTTTCGCTGATGTTGAAGTGATCAAAAATCAGTAATAGTCACAGTACTTTCTTTCAATCACACAAACTCATAAGGAAACACATGCCAGAATGAGAGCTAGTAATTCATACTGGTTTATCTGGTCACAGTTTGCTCATAATTATTATGTCTGGATTCAAAGAGAATCAGCTTGATCTCTCTGGCTTGAGTTCTCAGGGCATGGGAGTCATGGAAGAAGTGACCTTTAGACACAGCACCTTTCTAGGATACAATTTTGTCTTGGGCAGAAGACAAGACTGAGTCTTTGGCTGTTTGGTAGCAGGCCAGTCGTGTGTCTAGCTGTAGTCATTCCAAAAGTATAAAGCTAATAAGAGAGCTTTGACCTATGTAAAGGGAAGGGTCAGGAAATACCATTTTACACTGGCACCTGGGATAAGTGGTATAGCTTCTAATCTGTTTTGCAGTGCAAGTGTCACCTGACCAAAGCTCTTAACAAAGACATCGTAGCTCATGCGCAACAATGCTACACACCTCATTTTCACTTTCTATTAACCTTTTTTTGTGAGCTCAAGTGTACAGAAAAACCTTCTGTCATCATTATGTATGTGCAGAACACAAAGCTGCAAGGATTGGAAAAGCATGTGTATACTCATCTTCTCTAAAATACTTCACCTTAAGAGGAGATTAAAAAAATTTTACTTGATTTAGGACAAATGCTGAGAAAATTATCTAATCACAGTTTTCAGTGCTAAAAGTAATATAAATATAAAACTGCGAGAAATCTGGAACTATGAGTAGAGGAGTGTTTTGCCTAACTACTTCGTGCTTTTGCCTTTCAGTTCAGTAAATCCCCTTTTTCTTTATAGTCAGAAGCTATTTTCTCATATTTCTGTTAGCCTTTCACAGAGCAAGAGAAAGGAAACAAGGGTCACATACCATGAGAATCTCCAAAAGAACCCAAACCCCATGTTTGTCCCTGTAAATACTGTTCATATAAATAGTGCCTCTGTACTGTGAATAGCATTTTATGCTATTAGCTCATGATCTTGGTCATTACTTGAAGGCAAAACTAAAGTAATAACATGTAATTAGCAAGACTTGTTACTGGAACTTGGTGTAGCAGAATTTAAAACCCAGGGAAAAATGAACTGCTGGAAAAGTCAGTAATAGAAAGTAAATGTAGGGTAAGTTATATTTGACCTGAAAAGAAGAAAAATATATTTATATGTTTTAGGTCAGAAGTTTAAAAGAAAAGGCACATTAGATATAATGCCATGCAATAAAACAGGCTGTGACATGACAGCCATTAGCAAAACAGCTGCATTATAATAAATAAATAAATAAATGAAAGTCAATAAAAATGTAGAAAGGGCAGATTAGGTCATAAAGAACAATACCCTTAAAAAATCTCTAAATGTAAATGATTACTTCTTGGACCAACTGAAAAGAGATATTGCTTTCAATGTAATCCTTTGTAATACCTACTAGTTGGTGCAAGTAGTAACTATAGTTGACCCACTAAGCAATGTTGACCACAGTCTAATTACATTCAAAATCCTTGGGGGAAGAAAAATATGAAAATCCAGAGCCATGTAAGTAATAAAAAAATCTGAAAAACTGCAACAAACACATTCGACTTTAAACAAAATCCTGGAAAAAATGGAACCATGTGTACTTCTGAGCATAAAAGTCTTATTTAACAGACACCAAAAAGAAAGTTGATAGGCACATCTCACTAATTTGTGTAATGCAGGAATTCTGTTGCTTCCGTTACATTGTTGGGAAAACTGATAGGGATGAGATGGGATTAAGCTGGACCACCAATTTCTGTTTATATGACAATACTTATGTTTCAAATCAAAATGAAGAAATCATACTGATTATAAAACACTCATATACCTTAAAGAGAAAGCTTTTTAGTATACTGGGCAATTTCCATCATGAACTTTTTGATTTACAATTTAACTGATAGTTCTAGTATGAAAACTGGGAAATTGGGTAACTCTAGACTTTCCCAGGAATGAACTGAAGGCTTTTAATACAAGTCTTTTATTTTCTTTTCTAATCACTTCCAATCCTACAAAGAGAAAAATTCTGCTTTTCATATATTTATAGTTTTCTTATTTATGTTATAAATAACAGAAGTAATTTATTCAGAGCATTTGCTGAAGTCCTTTTACTCCCCTCACACTTTGCTGTGTACAGCATTTCAAAATAAGTAAAATACAAAAATAACTTATGGTTTGAAATCTCTTTAAATGCTGGACATATCTTAGTAGACAAAACTAACAGGTCATATTTGAATATAGTTATATTTGTATTTCTGAACTTACTGCAAGATAATCTGGGCCATCTTTATTGTAAACAAACAAAAGCAATCCATTCAGTTGATCTGTTCTAAATTTGAATGAGATCTCAAATTCCAGTCCACCACTAAAAACACCTGAATGCAGTTCCAGGAAGCCTTGAAAAGAAAGTGAACACACGTAAAAGTTAAATCAAATACATAGATAAATAGGCTCAAGAAACCAAAACTAAAAATCTAGGTGCTACTTTCTACTTTGATATGAAAACCTCAGAGATTTCAAGATTAAGGTTTGTACCCTTATCCCTCGGCTTTTTAAAGGACGATGTACAGCAGATTGGTGCAATGTCCTAAATTCTGCTACCTGGCATTTTTTGGTATGTTATAAGCATCTCTGTCTCTTCAAAAGTGAAACTTCACATTTTACATGTCTATCAACTCTGTATTCACTTACAGCAGCACCTGTCTGTGAATGCAATTCCTCTTCCATGTAGCAGTGTTCTGTAAACCCAGAAACCAAATTTTAAACCATTCAAAAATAATCCTGTATAACTAGAACTGCTACAGAAAGCAGACCACTGCAATACTTTTGATATGATCACCTTTTATACCTCAAAAGCACACTGGGCTAGTGCAATAGTACAGCAAATTACCTTTGCCAAGAAAATGTGCTCCTTTGGAGAGGACAATGGGGCATCCTTCCCAAACGTGATAGACGTTGTTTTGCTCTTCAGCATCCTGCCAGTTCAAATACTCCCAGTTTTCAAAGGGAGTGTGTGTTTTTTTCAAAAATATGTCACTGAGACATCCCACAAATCCCTTCTGGACTATCATCTTCATCCCTGCATAAATAGAAAATAATTTTCTTAAGCCAATCACCTGCAACTAAACATAGGAATTATTTTATATGTTTTATACATACCCACCCTATAGTATATGTGCATGTGTGCATTGATAACCAGCCATCAATCATTTCATAAATTTGGTCTACAAGCTAAATCCACATTTCTGAACGGGTCTAGTCACTAAGGACAGCAGCTACTGTTATGTAGCTAGAAAATATTAAACTTTTTGAGATTTTGCATACAGATGTCTTCAACAGTATAAATTTACTCCATGAAGATTCCAAGGAATGTTCTCACGTTTTATCCTCTTTAAACAAAACGTTAATTGTGAAGAATGGCATGCATCTGCTGAATAGGAAGGAACTGTGTTGTAAAAGCTTAACAGATGAATGTACTTCTAGAATTTCCACCAGGAAGATTTTCTTTCCTTGTTAGGATTAAAAAAGTAGCAGTTCATGGCTGCTATCTCTTTTTCTTTACTGGGGACAAAAATATAAAGCAGGTTTTATAGATGGCCTTCTCTTGAATAGTATTTATAGTTGATCTCATTTTGATTATTTCATTTGAGGTTTTTGATGGAAGCATCCTGGATTACTTTATGAACCAAAGCTTTAGAACACCGCATGCCCGTATTTCTGGGTTTACTAAACTGAAATAAGGAAGGATAGAGGAAGTCGTATTCTAGTGTACCTCACCTCAAATCATCAGCTACATTTCACATTCTTAACAGTTGTGAGAACACAAACTTAAAATACAATTTGGCTGTCAGTTTTATATAAAAAACAGCACAAGCCTGGATATGAATCCACTGACAGCAGCTGATTGTATACTGGTTTTGTATGCAGTCACCTCTGTTATGTGCTGGTGGAATGCCATATAGACCAAGTTTATGTACGAAGATGTATGTTTATTGATTCTGCAGAAGCCAGCTACAATCCAGCTCCACATAAATACACCTGTAGAATAAAGATATATTCATATACCACTGAGTTCAATGCAACAATCCCTAAAGATCCAAACTTACACCAAAAGAGCCCAGTATGTTCTAACCCTGAATCCCAGTGGTGTGCATAACCCTGTGCTTAAGATAATAAAACCAATTTGTATGTGTATTTTGAAGAAGAATTTGAGAATCCAGAATGTAAAGCATACCCAGAAGTTTCTCATACATACCAGCTTGCTTCACGTTTACAGTTCTGTGCAGAGAATTCATTAAAATGTACACAGATCTATACACTGCTTTCCTGATGATGAAATCAGCTATACAGATATTTCAAGCTATTCCAAAAGATAAAATTCAAGAAACTGTACAGATATTTTTATTAAAACAATTATGTAAATAATTATGCAAATTAAGCACTGTCCTCATGTTCCTGTCACAATGTCAATACAGCCTACAGTACTGCTAAGGCAGTGAAGTCAGTGCCACTGTATAGGATTTCTGATATTATATAGACCACAGTCATACTCACCTACATCCTTTCTTACAACAGTATAATCCTGTGGAAGTCCTCCAACAAATACTCCTGTGTTCTCACCAATAATGGTACTGCCACTAGTTGCTAAGGAAGAACCTGAAAAAAACAGGTCATTATTCTTGTGTCCAATGCTTTCCAACAGATTTTCAACTCAATAGCAGAATACTGACATTTGAGAAAAGAGACTAATGTAACACAATATCCTAATACTTTCCCATACATATTCTGGAAATATTTACAATTTTGTTTTACAAAAGAATATTAACACAATCATAGAATCATGAGCACAAAAAGATAAACTCCTCACACATGGTATTAAATTACCAAAGATTCACAGCGGACAGATACCTTAGATGCACAGACAAAACCATAGCGATTTTGTCAGAAAATTGAGTGAATTTTTTGCTGTATGGATGAAGACAAGCAGTAGAAATGTAAGCAAGTGCACCACACCTGAGTAAGACCAAAATAGTAAAGCAAAATGGAACTGAACTGATTACCTGTGTACTGCCCATCCACTGTGATGTTTCCTAGTGCTTGAATTCTTGTAGCAATTATTTGGTGCCAACTGTTATCATTGTACTCTTTTCCACCATCATTAGTTGGAGTGACTGCTACTGCAGATCCCTTTTTATTAACAGAAGAATCTGATTTAGAATATTACGAAGGTAAGATTTAGAATTATACCTTACTCTTTATAACACTGTGGTATGTAACATCTAAAAAATAAAGATAAAAGTCTTCTGTTTAACTTCTTTCAGGATACTGAATGATGTTTAGGACTGATTTCCCCACTAAATTAACCTTCTCAAATAATAAATGAGGGATCAAGGATCCAGTTCAGTTTCTATTAAAAATAGAAAACCCTGTGTAGTTCCCCTAAAAAGACAAGGATGAGGCACAAATTATTGAGGTTCATGTCATCCCTGTTTTTTATCTATTTTTTTAATGAAGTCTCTAATTACTTTATGGATTGCCATGGTTGTGAAGTTTGAAGGCAAGGATTCAATGTGCCATCCACAGAAATCCAACAGGATTGTTGACTGCAGCACCTGACTACAAGAAGGAACCCAAAAAAAGAGATGTATTTTTAGGACAGTATGAAGATTCATGTTCTGTTCCTGTAACCTGGTATCAAAAGGACTTGAATTTTTAGGTGAGAGAGTATAATATATTTATGAAGGAAAAGGTTATACCAAGAGATTCAGAAGAAAAAAAAAAAAAAAAAAAATTACAGAGAATGTTTTTACCACACAAGGGTACAAAGGATGCTTTTAAAAATGTTTTTAAATTTAACTACAGTTTTTACCTGGTTTTATTAAAACAAAAAATATAATTATATAATGGGGTGAATTTAGAGAATCCATGACAAAATGCAGAAAAATCTTTTCTGAATTGCTGAGTAACATGGAATATAACAGATGTGGTTGCCAAACCAAATCTCAAGACTGTTATCAACCAAAATTAATACCACACAAATTCATATAATGATGCAATAAAAATAAAATTACTGTCTTTCAATAATTTTCCCGAGATTTATACCCAAATAATCTTCTAACTTCCCAGTAATTCCTGTAATATTGTCTCAGGACTTTATAATTTACTTGAACCATCTCGGAAGTTGAAATTATTCTGTTGAATTCACAAAACAGAATTGTCCTATGTTGCATGCAGAGTTACATACTATTAAAGAAACACCACCTCTGCAGTTACTTTATGGCTTAAGACAGGCTTCAAAAAAACAATTTCCAAAAAATATGTAAAAGGTTCCTTGTAATTTGGGGTCTAGTTTGTTACTTTGCAGTAGCAAACCGGACAGTTCCGAAATTTTTTTTTTTCCAGATCTTCTAGTACTCTTTCTGGCTCAAGGACCTTAGAGTTATGGATATGATGAAACCCTGTTGATAAAAAACACCTATTGTGATTAATACTAAAAGCCTCCTGTTAAAATTTAGTATTCTGCCTTTAGTGATGTACATCTATATAGAAATTGCTTGTCAGCATACAGAGTTATGAACACTCTACATTTTAAAGTACATTTTGAATTGGGGACTTTCACTGTGTATGTATCCTATGTATGAAAATATACATGATGTGTACATATGTACACGATTACAGAAAAAATAATTCCCTGTGAATATTTACAGCATGTTTCCTACTCCATTTAGCCAACATCTTGGTACTGAGACAGTTTGTACCGCAGTCCTCTGTCCCATGGTAAGAATACAACGCTATATCCTTACATACTAATGTGCACTTTTTCATATACTATTTTTTATTGTCTTCTCTCCTATTTCAACATTTTAATATTTTACAAACACACATTTCATTATCGTAGTTTAATAATTAAAACTAGAACTGGTGTCATGCCCAATTAATGTGCCCTGGTAGCATGCCCATTAGTTTTTCCATTAGTGAATTCAACAATACTAATGGGATTACTAGCATGGGATGCTAATTGGGCGTGACATAAGAAACTGGCTTACTTCTTAGCATACCCTTGCTAATGATGAAATTAATGAGCATTTTATTAAATGCTGTCTCATCAAAGTGTACTTAGTTAGCGTTAAAATTGTTACAAACGATGCTGCATTCTAAAGATCAGGTGCCTGAATAAGTGGTTCTTCGTATTATGTTTGGCAACAGTCTAGAGCATTAACAGTTTTATACATCAGAAACCACATTTATTTGTAACCAATTCAATCTGGGACCACACAGCCATATGTGCTAATCTTTGCTTAATTTCAGGGGGAAAAAAAAAAAAAAAAAAAAAAGAGAGATGGGTTCAGCATTCACTTCATTGGAGGCCTCTGTATGACATTTTATCCAGAACTACCCAAGTGATTCTGTGATCCCATTCAAATATCCTGTTGTGAAATGGCTTGTTATGCATTTTGGAAATCATACATAGCAAACCAAATCTGGATTAGTTTGCTGAGCCATATAATAAGTCTTAATTTTTAATAGCTCCCAGTAATAAGTAAGCAAATGTGAATCTCTGTGGCTCTTCATGCTGACATTTGCTTTCATGAAAATGCAGAGAAACATCACAAATATGGATCCTCACAGATACAGTTTAGATGACAAAGTCTGAATATAACTATGCTTCTCCCAGTCAAGTTCTTTGAATGCCCACCACTGAAAAGGTGAAGAAGTACTGAAGCTTTGCAAGTGCCAAGCAGCAAGGTATAGTTGAGAATCATAGCTAGGTGTTCTCCATCTTCTTTTTTTCTGGGGAGTAACAGCTCACCCTCAGACTGTGTCTACTACTTCAGCCTCTGCACAAACCACAGGCAACAAGAAAAGTATCTGGTATTTCTCCTTTTTGATGTAGTTTAGTAAATGAATCATCTTCTAAAATGGAAGAGCTGGATTCAATTCCCTCCGTACTGTGAGAAGAATCCCAATACTCTGTCCTAATCACTAAGGCAAAAGGTGCTCCAGTTTGGCCTAAAATTTTCACCAATAGTGATTTCACTTTGTATAAAATATTCAGTGCTTCCCTGGGAAAAAGATAGAACAAATGACCTATAGCCACTGACAGATAACTGTAAATTTAGCTGGAGTCAATTGTGTAGTTCAGGGGTGGATTTAAAGATGTTATGGTGAGAAGAAACTCCACAGACAGTGGAAGGTTTGCAGGCACACAGAGTCTGGAGGAAGGTCTATGGGACAATTTGATTATGCAGACAAGACTGAGGAAGATATCTGCTAGCAAAAAACTCATGCTTCATGGACCATGAGTAGAAATCTGCAAAGAATGACAGTGAAACAATAAGGAAGGCAAAATGTGCTGCTAGACAACACAAAAGGGAGACAAAAGAGATCGTCAGAAAACAGCTATATGAATGGTGGTGTACATAAAGTTGAGACATATGAATGGACAGGAAGAAAATGATTTGAAATTAACACTTAGGGAAGGAAGAAGATAGGCTGCTGAAGACTCCCCACTAAGAAGACTTGACAGGACTATTCCAGAGCAGATACACAAAAGAGAAAACATGCTGCTGATCATAAACAAAGATACATACCAGAAATCCTGAAAGGGAGTAAGGGTAAAAATAATTAACCTGTGAGAGGACACAGCTGAAAGGGAGCACAGAATATTACACCACACTGCTATAGATAGAAAGAAGCAGACAACTGTCATCAGAACGAATTTTTGCAATTTTCAATAGAAGAGTACAAAGGCAGGGCCATAAATGCTTATCATATATGCCACAACCATAATTAGAGAAATCAGTGCTTGTAACCTGGTTAAGAAACCACTTGATGTCCATAAGAATTAATCAAAGCATTTGCATGCTAATGCAAACTGTGATGTACAAATAAGGAGTAAGAAATGTAGAACATGATACCTGATGATATAGGATAGAAATAGCAAATAATGGCAGAAAGAAAAAAGAAACAGACTATGTGGTAAACATAGAAACAAAGGTAAAGGTAGTAAGGTAGCACAGCATATTAAAGATACAAAAGACAAAAATTTTGATAACTGAATTTTCACAGGTAAAAGTTTTTGAAAAAGACACTACAAGAAATATATTGATGTAGGCCACAGTACCCTATTTCTGAATCTGAGAATGCGCAGGAATCTCTTCCACATTATTAATGAGAAAGTAGAAAGCATTAGCTTTCAAGATAGTAAATTGAAATGTTAAGACCTACACTATTCCTGAATGCCTTGAATGACAGATTTTTTTTTTTTTTTTCTATAAACAGTCACTGAAGCAGCAATAGGCTATTTTGGACTTTAGAAGAAGAGGGAATATGGAAGTGATGAACCTAGAAATCAGCATGAGATGCTTGTCTGATTCAAATGAAACAGAAAGATAAATAAAGATATATTCATAAACAAGTAATGTGTTAAAATTCAAGATAGTAACTATTGAAAATATTAGCTGAACTGAGAAGCTCTAGGGGCTGAATATGGATGAGACCTGTGTTTTTACAGTTAAAAGACAGAGAAAAAAAAGGAAAAAAAGAGAGAAGGAGGAAGGAAAAAAAAAGCCCCAAATGAGCTCCTCCCCTATCTGCCCCCATTTCTCTCTGTCCCCCAAATACTGGAATCCAAACAAATACAACAACTTCTAGGGAATCAGTCCAACCTAGCTGACATAAAGCTACTTCAGAAGGAGCAAATCTGCAAGGAGGACTAAGAATACTTTTTGAAGCACTAAAATGCTAGTTGAAGGATATCCACTCCCATTAAAACAAACATCAACAAAAAAAAATATCAAACTATAACACCTGGAAAGATCTTGCAAAAGAAAGAAAAATTCCTTTTCAATTAAGTGAGGGTATAAGTGGAAAATAGATAAACAGAACTAGTACCTATTAAAATGTGGATGAGGGCAGCATTAACAATGTTAAGTGTAGTCCCAAAAATTGAAGCACACACTGATTCAGTTTGCAACAAGGAAAAGATAAAGCCTGTGTGCAAATGCAGTGGAAACAATAGAAATTTGTATCTTGGGTCAGAAGCAGATTTACTGCTTTCTAGCACGGGGATCACATACACACTAGCCTCTATGCAGCACCATGCCTTCTCTACAGCTCCTCCAAAGCTGAAGAGCATCTTCACTGCTGCAGAATACCTCTGTGTGGTCATGGAGCACCAGTGCCTGGACCATGGCAGAGCTCAGGAAGCAAAGGTTAACAGTGGATCATCAAATCTCTAAATCCCCACCATTTTATACCATTAAGCATTTCAGTTCAACCCTGGCGGAGCAGTAGACACAACACCAATCATGTAATTAGACACTGAGGAGTGACAAAAGATATAGTGACCAGACCTTCGAGCAACTGAGGCAGCGGTAACCTTACAAAAAGGATGCACATGTATGGTTACGTATGATACCACATTCTGCCAATATCTTTAGTAGAGCAAATAATTACTTACAGTTTCTTACATATTTATGAAATAAAAGTGAGTCTGTAATGCTTTTTATTCCATGAGGACATCCAATTTTGGGGTGCAGAAAAAACGGGAACTACCCAAACAGAAATGCAAAGAATGTGGTCTTGTTTTTAATTTTGTGGAATTTATTTGATAATATTTCCCCCATTATTTATGTCTTTGCTATGGTCATTATTACTGGAAGTGAGAGACTACTTTCATTGTCATTAATGGCAGCACTTGGATTTCAGTTGGAAAAGACAAAGTCTCAAGATGGGAAGCTTAAAAATAATTGACTAGAAATATAAATAACCTTTATTTACTAATTCAAAAACTAGTTCCACCCACCTTTGAAATCTTGGTACTTTAAACTATAGTGGTGTTTGGTGGTACTGACAAAAACCCCAACTCATAAAAACTCATTAAAAAGTCATTAATTGTGGCACACAAAAAATGAGGAAAGCTTTAGTGTTTCAATGTTTCTCTCCAAATAATTTGCAGTTACATAAGGGTTCTGAAGAGTCAGTTAACTTGTATCAATATTTTTTTTTAAAAAAAAGGTATTTAAAGAAGTACTGAAAGAAATAATATACGCTATTTTTATAGGATCCTGTCTTTTGTTGTACCTGTGGATCAAAAAGAAAGTAAGGACGCCCACTCCTCAGTTGAAGAGCAATGTATTCCTCCTGATTCCCAGGTGATGCAGAGAAAAAAATCAAACCATCAGGTTCCTGGGTTCTAAATTTCACTTTAATACCTGATTAGAAAATAAAAAAAGCAGATGGTTAATACCAAAAATTATTCTTATGCATTCAAACAGTGTAATTACAAACAAAATGTTGTTTTACAAACAGCAGTAAAATAGAAAACCAAAATCATGGAAGTTTACTTCACCTAAAAGACCTGCCAGTCACTGCAGGAGAAATTTTACTAATCCAGATTGAATAAGACTTTGAGAGAAATTTCTGTCATTTCAGAGCTCTTACTCATCTGTAAAAAAAGATGTGCAATTGTGACTTATGTTGTTCAGTAAACTCTTAAAAAATGTAATTCAAATATTAGCATACGCTTCTAATAGTTGATGTTTTACATGTGGTATTTCACATGTAACTTAACATTTCTATTGGTAAAGTAGTAATGAGGTTCCTGCATGGAAGGATTTCTGTGAAGAATAGTTGGGGGGTTGATTCCAAAAGATATATGTATACAAACACACGTATTTATATGTATATTCGTATATATTCTTTTATAAGTACATCTATCAGTGCACAAAGAACACCTAAGAACTAGTTTTAACAAAAACTGGAAATACCCCAAGGAATAATTGATTAACTAAGCTTAATCAAGAACCTTCCAGATCATTATCAAGAGTCCTCTATTTAGTTTCTGATAAAACATTGTCTCAGCTCATGAAATGTTACTCTAATGACATATAAGAAAATAAAACATAGGGGTTTTTTACATTATTTTACCACAAATAAAATATCAAAACAACAAGCTAAACAAACAGCTTGTAAATATTGGAATATTGTTGTCCATGGTAAAAACTTACTCAGTAACTAAGGACACATTACCAAAACAATTCATAAATTATGTATCCAGTTTCAAGAAGCATAATTATGAATAAACAAGTTTTGGATAACTACAAACCTTTTGTGACTATAATGCCTTTCTTTTAAGCTATCTCCTGGAACATCATCTTACAGAGAAAAAAATGAGAAAATTAAAAAAAACTATACACCAAATTCGGCCCAACTTTTCTAATGTGCAACTCCAGATATCACAGGCTGTCTATAGTGGAACCATGTCTTTACTGTACTAACTTCTTTGAAAAGGGAAATGAAAAGGCAGCAATAGCAACATCTACCTATACTATACACTTCATGACATTTCTGCATAAAATGTTTTTTACAGAACAGGATAATTTATTGGGTTTTACCAAACTCCATCAGATTATTCAGTCTTTTCACATGCATTTTCACTGACTTATGTCAGGCAGAAAACAGGAAGTGACAAACGTTTTTTTTGGAGACAGCTTCTATATTTAAAAAAATATATATATAAATATATATAGATATATATATTTCTGATGTATGTTCATACTAGATCATGTTTGTTAATTACCTATACCCATAAGAAATATCCTTTGACCTCATTTCCTAATCATATGTTTTCATGCAAATCACATGTTGCACTCACAGATATGAAACATAGTCTCTAGGCAATGAAAATCAGTCATGCTGTTAAAATACCTGCAAAAAGCAGTTGTACATAAGTAAACCCCAGCAAATAAAAAAATCAACAGTGTCCATTCTTAAGGAAAAGCATAGCTTTGCCTGGCTCAGAAATAACCACTACTGCTGTACTTTGAGGTTCCAGGTATTTCCAGCTGCAGTATCTGCTGGAAAGGTTGAGACTGATGGCCTCTAATCACAGCACTGGAGAGCACAGTTAATTTAACAAGCTGCCATCATTTTTATCGAGCTGCCAAAAGACATTTTGGAAGACCAGAGGATTCCTCCTCACACCTAATTCAGAAGGACAAATACAAACAAAATAATTGAGTTTCTCCAAAAACACAGGTATTTTATAATGTTGTGTTAGAAAATATAAATTAAATGTTTCATAACATTAATATTGCAGTAATTTTAAAAGTTTTCAAATGTTATGCAGGAGCTTTCTTTCTTCTTTGGATATTGAAGAGCCTTATAAATTTTAATTCCTGCCTGTAGAGATGCCATAGCTTCATTAAAAGTATTGATGAGTCAGGAAGCATCATTTTCAGTCATAGCGCACACAGCAAATTCTTCTAAATTCATTTGTCACCTATTGCATAATTCAGAAAAGAACTTGGTCCCTTTAAGTCCAGGTATCTTTGGAGTTTCTCATGAGATAAGGAAGTTCATAAAAGCTAGTTCTAAATAAGTACTTTCATAACTCAGTACTTTCTTGTATTCCTAGAAGTGAGTGCAATGGAGAAACCAAATATCAAGCAAACTTCTGCCCCATAGATGATATTTTCATTGGAAGATAAAAACTTGTCAAATTAGGGTTTTTTACAGAAACATACTAATAGAAGAAAAAATGGGAAAAGATTTCTCAAGTCCAGGTTGGACCTCATGGTCAGAACAAAACATAACCAGAAATCCCATTCAGACTTGTAACAGCTGCATTTGTACATACAACAGTACAGCATTTTTCTGCCTTATTGACACTGAGCACTGGAAACAGAACTTAGTTAACCTGAACACAGAAAACTTTACTTTGAAAATCTGAAAACTTTCAAAGAACTCGAAAACCACATTGAATGACCAGAAAAACTTTCCTTTGTTTTAGGGGGGTGACGCGACACACAATTTTGCAAGAAAGTTTCTCAAAGACTTGTTTGCTATTTCAGTATGCATGTCTAAAACCTTAATTTCAATGTTAAATATATCAGATAAATAGAAACATAAATAAAACAGTGACATTACAATCACTTCTGTAATTTGTCATATACAGAAACTGCATCTCAGACACACTACTGAGGCTACCAGATCTTGGATGGAAAACATGACCATCTGTGGGGCATAGTAGGAATGTACTTTTTAATCAACTGAATGTTGAATTGCAACTCAAGAATTCACCTAATAGGCCTGTTTATGTGAAAAAAAATGATCGGTCCTCAAGGAGTTGTTATCATTTCTGGGGTAAAAAACAACAGGAAATTCTACTATAAATTAAACATTAATGTATGTCATTCAAATAAAATATTTAATTCCATTTCAAATTATAGCTGCAATTGGAGAAGCTGTCAGAATTCCTTTCATTATAAATAAATTTCTTCAATTTCTGTAATTGAATTTCTTTAATTATAATGGCATTGTAAAAAACATAATGCAAGTATTGTATACAGTCAACATAAAAGACAAAAAGTAACAAAAGGGCAAGTAAAACAAATTACTGTTATTATGTATTAAGTATCCCAAAGTGTGTTAGGGCAGACTAACCTTCTGTCAGGAACAATTCTGCAATAGTGGATTGTGATTAGATTTTTATCCTAGTTTCAAAGACGGCACATTGAGGTTAGTAGAGGAATGGGGATGTGAGTGACCAATGCAGGCATTTTAGAGGCGTTCAACTGAGAAGCAATATCAGCATGCTACCCTGAGAGTACACAGTTTTGAGAGTTCCTTTTAGTAACAGGCTGATATTAAAAGTAAAAAGATATACTATTACTATAATGTCAGATGAGTCAGAACCCAGTCTTTTGGCTAATGCAGAAAATGCATACGGAGCGATTTTTACACCACCTCTTTACCACCCTTATGTAAAGTCAGAATCTCAATAGCAAATCAGAACTTCAGCAACATTTCAGTTTCAGAATCAGATTCACACCTGAACTCAGATTCTTCTGGCACAATTCAATATGGCTTGGAAGATCTGCACAGAAGATTTAACAGGTGAGAACGTGCTCTTGAGAGGCTGGCTGTGGTTCTTGCTTAAAGCAAGTTTACAGAGCACATGGGATTATTTTGAGTTTAGAAGAGGCAGTTGGTAGTCAGGGGGAAAATATTAATAAATTATAGCAGCTCTCAGATTAGCATAACATATACTAATAATTTATAATTATTACAGCAATAAAATTCACTTCTGACTAGTGCTAACCATTTTTTCTTGAAAAATAAAAAAATTAAAATAGGTTTTGTTTGACCAAGAAGCTATTCACCCAGACTAAAGAGGTTTTGCTTCCTGTGAAACATCTTTCCAATTCAACTGGACAGAATTTCATTAAAAAAAAAAAAATAAAAAAAAAAATCAGCATTTCAAAATACAAAAGCATTCACTAGAGTCAAAAAAAGTGGTTTGACTTTTTGAAATTCTGGAGGAGTTGAGGGGAGAATGTAGGCAGAGGGGCAAAGTAATTGAAGACATCATTTACAATAACAGTTGAAAGATTTCATCAAAGTGGCCTACTTAGAATTAATCATAGAACGTTTTGGGTTGGAAGGGACTTTAAAGATCATCTAGTTCCAACCCCCCCTATCATGGGCAGGGACACCTTCCACTAGACCAGGTTAATCTCTTTGATCCATGAGCTCAGCTAAAACATCTGTAAAGTACCTTTACAACTGAATGTTCAGAGTTCAGATCAAAATAGCCAACAAATATAAGTTATTAGACTCATTAAATACATAGAAGTTGCTACAAATCTCAGAATTCCCATGCACCTTCACCAAAACCTATATATAACCACATGAACAAATTTGTCCAGAAGAGTCAAGACAGCCACATAAATGTATTTCCAACCTGAATGTGGTCAATCAGAATAGTTTAATTTTCATAAACACATGAAATCCCAACCCATATGTCCAAGATAAGAATAATAATTAAATACCCTAGCATATTATGTGGACTTAAGAAATTATAAAAGGAAAAGAGTGTACACTATGATGGGAAAAATTAGAAAAAAACCCAAACTGGCCCAATATCTGGAAAATCAGAAAGCCTTATTAGAAATGAATTTTTGCATAATCTGTGAAGCACATCCATTCTCAGTGCAATTTCTCCCAAAACTGTACAATTCTACAAACACAATTTGCACTTCCATTCTACTTATATAGTTATATAAAATGGTGTAAATAATTATATAATTGTACATTCCGATCAAACGAACAGAAAATTGTTGGCAAGGAAAGTGATCTTTTTATGCTTACTAAAGCCCTGTGCATAACACCAAGTAAAATGAATAGAAATTGTATATAAAATTTTGACTAC